TTTATATATAAGAAGAAATATGCATCTTATTTTTGGAGATTTCAAGGCAGCAGCTAGTAATAGTGAACAAAAACTTCGGGTGTGTCTAAATTTGTTGACATTAAAATCAGATTTTTTTTACAGATTCCAATCAGTAGTAAAATATTAATATTAAGATTTTTATACTTTACAGATGCAATGTAAATTATTGATTTTTGTTATAATTTTCAAAAGAATTCAATTTTACTTTCTATCTTGACATCATAGGTAAATTATCCAGACACATTACTAAATGCTTTATCATGTATAGTAGTTATGTTTTCAGTTTCAGTTAAATTTCTAAACTTTTTGTTAATAAATAAGCAGTTACTATAGAATGATGACTTTTTAATACTGTTTATATGTACAGTAATTTATAGTTTATATAGATCTACCAAATCATTTTTCTGACACTTTCAAGGTCAATTCACCATAACATTTTCTTTAATCATTTTAATATAATTTTATTTGCAATTAAATGAATTACTAATAATATAATAGTAAGTCTTGGTTACTATGATGATTAGTTTTTAATTATTGATAAGTTATTTAATCAGTTCCTGATTATGTAGAACAGTTTTGAATTGAAGAATATGATAATTTGTTGAATAATGTTATGTCATAATTTTTAATGAGTTTCTTTTATATATACAGTAATTGGTATTGTACAGTACCATCTAGCATTTCCTATTTGCTTTGTTTTTGTTATACTGTAGAGAATATATAATGCCATGAGATACAGTATTTCTGATAATCTACAGTAGTTTCTATTTACTACCATATTTAAATTGCCTATTAATACAGTAGATATGTTTACTTGGGCATGGTTCAATTTCTCCTATGCATTCTTGTGTAGGCCTACTTTATTCTATTTCCTCCTCTTGTTGGGTTTAATTTATCCCTGCTACATGGGATGGTTAGGAACTTTTATAGTGCACAAACAATAGGATTTCTCTAATAAGCTCCTGAAGCTCCATAGTACAGAAATTTATTTTGATAATATATTCAATTGCAGACCAAATTAAGAGTCTGAGAATAGCTGGTTGTTACATAAAGGCTTTGTATAGATTCATTTTAATAATCAGGCATAAAGTTAATCAATAATTTTCATTTAACATCAATGAATATTATATTTTATTTAAAAGAAAAAAATATTAATTTCTTTTTGTATTTAAATAACTATTGTTGTTATACTTTTTGAACAATATTGTCTGCGGGATGCAACATTGAAAGTTGCGAATCCAGGAATTTGAAATAGAGGGAGTCCAGTAAAGAACTTTCACAGATTGTCTGAACCACTTCGGCCCCACCATGGTTGGGACTGAAGTAAGAACATTTATGATTATTGCGCATCTAGATAGCCAGAAATGGTACTCTCATACTTAAACTTATATATACCTGTACTTTTCTTTTTCCATTTATTTTTATAATTTTATTAAATTTAGGGGGTGGTGGGAGAATCCGGCCGGATGAGACCACACCCTCCCCCCCCCCCTTCTTAAATCCACCACTAATGGCACCATAGGATATATGGTGTAGTTTCTGAATAGGGAAGCTCAATGATGACGGAACTTCCGTTTTTAACGCTGGCATCATGGAAAGTAAATCGTTGTGTCTGAACACCATGACCAGTTATGCCGCGGATTAGTGTACGCCTGGCGTTAGTTAAGCCACTGTTATTCCGTGAGTCTGAACATAGCCTAAGAAAATCAAAGAAATATGACTCATTTTAATTGGGTTGTGACATAATTAATATACTGTACCTCGTGCAAATATTTCTTAATATATGTTATATTATGTCTAGCATATAAGTACCTTTATGCATACCTATATTTATTTATTTATTGACAATCTTTAACCAGGGGTGGCCCAATCAGTCAAGTAGACTGGTCTCCCTAGGAACCCTTGGTACAACAGTTTTTAGAATAGAATATAAGTGTATTAAGTATACCTGTTTTTCTATGTATGTTTATATAAGATAGGTATTTGATCTGCCATTTCATTTCAATTTCTTCTAATTTTAACTGGTGGCCATACCTTAAAGTTGATATTCAAAATTATTTTTCCTCTATCCATGTACTTTGTCTTGAGTAGCATTTATAGCGGACTCATTTTATATAAATGTTAATTTTTTGCTTTTAAACTTTCATTATTCACCTGATTTGTCATTTTATTTGTGGAAAACTAGCCAACATAATAAAATTATTAATGATACTAATACTAATAATAATAATAATGATAATAATTAAATGTAATATACCATCTATGTTATGCTAAACAAATTTTAATAATTGAATTATTCTTTATATTATTTACTGTTGCAATCGTTCAACCTAGGATGATATAATATACCTACTGATTGGATTAGACTTTGAGCTATTATCATACTATTCTAATATTATTATAACCATAAGATTGGCTATCACAAAATGTTGATACAATATGTAAATTGTGTAAACACTGTGCTTCCCTACGAGATAGGATAGCAGGTGATGAGTGAGTGTGTTGCATTGCATGTCACACAGAGATTTTGATTTACATGCTCAGAGTTTAAGTGCTCACATGTCAGTTCACTGCAAGCATGAATATTCAATAATGTCAATGAATATTCATTGATGAATATTCATTGATGTCAACGAATATTTATTGATATCAATAAATATTCATTGATGTCATTGAATATTCATCAATGAATATTCATTGTATGAATGAATATTCATTGTTGAATATTCATTGATATCAATTAATATTCATTAATATTAATGAATATTTATTCATGTCCAATGTACCACACATGACAGCCTTCAATTTGGACACTTTAGGCTTTGTTCTTGAATAGCGCTTCTGTTAAGCTGTGCTCTAAAGCCTCTACAAATTGATTGGTGTTGACATACTAGTTTGTATATTTACGATAGTTTTTTTTTTCAAAGTACCTAGATCAAGTAGAAGTTGAATTGCGAACATGTGAGGAACCGAGGAAATGCACAACAAGTATACCTGATGCAAAACAAGCACCTGTGTAAGACTCCATGATATTAATGCTCATTTTACAGGCAGTTCCATAGCTCATCAATATTTGAGTAATCTCTATCTAACATTCATGGACATTGGCTAGATAAATCACAACTCATAAATATTAGTGAGTTAGAAATATTTACTTGATTGATGAACTCTGATAGTCATGCTCATTGGCTAGATGACTCCGTAGCTCATCAATATTAATGAGTTAGAATATTTACGTGAGTAATCTCTGTAACATTCATGCCCATTGGCTATTTGATCCCATCAATATTAAAATCAAATTACAAAAATACCTGTACATCATTAATGAGTTGAAAATATTACCTGTTTCATTCATGCATAGGCTAGATAATGCCGTAGCTACAATGATTTAAACACGCAAAAAGTGTGTAAATGTGAGTGATATTCATGCCTGTAAGTACTGTAGATAACGTTGACGTATGATAATGTGTAAAACTGATACTCAAGTCATTCTTGCTGCTTTTATACTTTGTCCATGTGGAATAGAAAGTATAAATATTTTTTTACGAAAAATTTATTTCATATGAATTTTGATTAATATTGATTGATATGATGCCTTAGAGGATAGAGGGCGCTATAAAAATCAAGTCTGTTCCTATCAGTGAGTGTTGGCTATACTATCAAGGGTTTTAATCATCTTTCTACTGGTATTCAAGTCTCCTTTTCATTACTGCCATCATTCAATGACCAAGTGAAAAAAAAAATGTGTTTCTTGTTTGGACTTTTCCAAGAAAAAGGAAGCTTTTTTATATAATGTACATAGCCATCATAGCTTTTCAGGTCAAGTACAGTAAAAGTGAAATCTGACATAAAAACTGAAATTTGTCACATAAAATGTGATAACATGGACAGCCCTTAAGCTCTGTCCACATTATCAAATATGGGAACCCTATTTTTTTTCACTTTTTTGACAAAAAAACTGTTGTATGACCATATATACAATAGTCATGATGTGCCCATATATGGTCATGATGTGATGTCATCATCACCATATTTGTGCATGTCACATGTTTATGTCACATAAGATTTGATAGTCGGGACAGGGCTTTAAAATGTTTGTTTTTAAAGTTTTTTTCCTTTAGCTTGGTTTCCATACAATCATTACACACTAGTCGAATCGAGGAGCCTTACCAATTGCGTCAGGATGTGCAACACAGTACAATGGTTGCACTGAAAATGTAGCAATTGTATAGAAACCAAGCTTTACTAGTTGTGTCATTTTTAATCTGTAAAACAACCATTTCGGACAGTATATATGGAAATTACATGAATCTCAATTTGTTACATTTGCTGGCAACTGACTCATTATTTATTACATACCTTAAACAAAATAGCTAAAGTATTTCATAGCATGTAGTAATTATGGTGTTATTTGAAAGATAGTCTCCACAGAGCCAATCTTCTGTTTATGCTAACCTTTGTCATTAAAATTTATGGATACATTTTTTTTTTTTCAATTGCATAGTTTTAACAATTATTTTCTTATAATGACAATACCATATGATCATGTATAATCATACATTTACATACATATATATTACATTTGTCTTTCTATTTTGAAGTACTTTAAATTTGCTTTAACAATTTTTGTATGGTTTTTTTTCGATTATCCTTGTTATAACTTCATTTTGATTCTATAACTATATTGTTTTTGATGAAAATTGCAATAAAGTTTTGTCGTATTTTGTATTTTCATAATTATCAAAATCATCTGCCTAAAAGCCCTGACTAAACCATCAAATTTTCTTTAACAAAAACCTGTTGTATGCCCATATATAGTCATGATGTGCCCGTATTTAGTCATGATGTGCCTATATATGGTTCTAATGTGATTTTATCATGACCATATTTCATGTAAAATATTTTTGTCAAATAAAATTTGATAGTCGGAACAGGACTTGAAGCTAAATTTTTATAATCAAATGTTATTTCAGAGCAACTAGTAAATATGGTTTTGTTGAAAAGACGGTGGATGGTGTTTTTGTTTCAATCAATGCAATTAACGGCCAGTTTGTGTCAAATACATTTAAAGCTGATATTCAGGTACAGTGTTTTTTTTTTTTTTTGGGAGGGATAAGGGGCGGGAGTGGCCCAACTAAGCCAACATGTCACAGTGTATCTCATGACAATTTCATTTATAAGAATAATAATTATAGCACTGTCATGTCGCTGTGGCTTAGCATATCTTTCAGTGAGATTAGCATAATGTTACTTTACTATATAATATTATAAACTTCATTCAATATTCATCACAGATGATAAGGTTATCCTAGTGCACATACATCAATTATGGTATATTATTTGTAATGATGAGGTCAAAGAGAGGAAGGTGGTGCTTATGAATTTGAAAAAATTATATATTTATATACATAAATATCATCAATCTAATGAATATTAATTTTTCTCGCAGATTGCACGCTTTGTCGTTCAAAGTGTTTCGCCCTCAAATTGGCAACCGGCCGATTTAAGAATGACGCGGATCAAAGATAACACACGCGGTGAAACTTTACTCTTCAAGATGGTGGAGTGGTCAACGATTCGATTGACAATTGATGCGTTAGATCATGAAGGTGGTAGACCTAACACACCAATTAGAATCATTACCAATCAAGGACAGGTATTGCAAACGTCAAACAACTTCTGTTTATCATCTAAAAGCCGCCTTTTTGTAGCAGGCGCTGGTTGTTTATTAGTAAAAAACATTTATTCATTACTGAAATTAATATATTATAATAATGATTTTATTGATATTTAGTTTTTAAAAATAAACTTAGCATGAAATGCAGTTGTTATGGTTGAAACCTAACCACAGTATGCATAGCTGTTAAATAGAGCACTCACTATGCTGATGGTGCAGACTTTTATCCATAAAGAACGCAATGCAACAACTTGTGTGAAACAATCTGCTCAGACTCCCACTGACAGTATCGCATCATCAAGCACTCACAGAAATAGATATGGATTCATCGTACGGTGCAGTTTGTGCGCGGAGCTAACAGAGAAGATGCTTAATTTTCAATCTCACTTCAGACTTCTGGGTTCAAATTTTGTGAGGCACCAGGAGCTTATTACAGCCAGTTCTTTAGTATGTTCTTGTTTTTTTCACAGATTCATATAACAATGAAGAAGAAGTTAAGTGATTGTGATATTGTGGCTTCCAAATTGAGTGTGCTATTAGATGATATACTATGGGTGCTCACTGACTCTCAGATAAAAGCTGTTATTATGCATTTTCGTAGCTTGAACCCAGTCATACAGAAATCAACCCAGCAAAGCAAGGCAATGGCCAATCAAAAACAACAGGTATGATGTTTCATTATGGCTACGTTCACAATTGAGAACTCATGCTAGACATGACACACTCGGTGTGACCCATGTGTCCATACTACGTGGTTTGACAGACTATGCGAAGTATAAAATGACCGGAAGTACAAACGCATTATAATGGTCAACCAGCAATACCATATCAACAAACCTAAAAATAGAAATTTGTACACACTCCCTGCCTTTAACTAGCATAGCAGTGTCTGCTTGTTTGGCCCAAATCTTCACATACTATAAAACATTCACAACCGATGAAGGGTCACATTTAGCAAGCCAGCTGGCTACCACTGTATATATATATTTTATTAATATTTCTTTTTAATGTTATTATTTTTGTCATTATTATTACTATTCTAAAATTGTTTTAACTGTTTTTTTTTTCGACAGACAACCCCTGTAACAAAGCAAGAGGTTGATGCAAAGCGCCCTCACAATATAAAGAATGCAAAAGAACTCGCTCAACTTCAGTACTTTGAGCAATATGATATACATGAAACCTCCTACCATTTTTGTACCCAAAGAATTGATCTTCATCTTTGTGATGAGATGAACAGAGCTGAGAAAGGTAAGATGAGTCAGCAAAAAAATAACACCTTGAAATTAATATAAAACTGTGTATGAATGCTGATTAGTTGACTTAAGCACTATTCACACTATTTTATTTGACAAAAACATGTTACATGCCTAAATATGGTCATGATGACATCACATCAGTTTTATTTTGTCAAAGAAAATTTGATTGTGTGAACAGATCTTTAGATAATAAATTATTTTTGGACAGGCTTTAATGTGACAAGAATAAAACAAGACAGTCCCACAAGTTATGTGATTACTGAGCTGGGATTAATCCACCTATTCTATTTGAAATGTAAATAGCCTGTCAGAGGATCCAGTGATTGGGTGTGATGCAGCTCATGGGGTTGTGCCTCCCACTGAATGATGGAATTGATCCAGTAACCAAAGAAAAAATAAGAACAAGCCTGTGTATATTATGCACTGTAAAAATATAACAATATGTTATACTGTAATGTGTGAACTGTGATTGTCATTTTATTATTTTTATTTTTTTATTATTATAATTTTCTTGCCTAAATAATGCTATATTTCAAGAGGTTACCGAAAAGAATATTCATTTATTTTATGCTGCAATTTATTTAATTTTAAATTGTATAACCAACATTTTCACTTCTTTTATAATGCAACGCATCAGATGCTGTCTTTAAACTGTGGGAAATAAGAAACAGTGGTTTGTATTTTGCATAAAATAGCATAATTAGTGTAGTGTAATGTTTACAGCATGGATGTTTAACTTGCATTTTACCCTGGCTACTAAACATATGTTGTTAGCTAATAATATTAGGAGTTCTTCGATAAAACATGTATTTTTCTGATGTGAATAAATGTACATAAAATTTGTACATTCGTTATTGTTTGACACACCAATAAATGTACTAACAAAGAAATAATTGATTCTATCTCCTTTGAATGCCTGTTTCTCTTTTTTTTATATTTTATTGTCAGAGAATTTTGTTCAAGTTTTTATATCTTTCATTTCATTAATTTTTTTTTCATCTTCTTTTCTTACTCCTTCAGGTCTGTCATCTTACTATACTGTATTGAAAACTTTAAATTTTCTACAAATATATTGATTTCACCCCTAAACTTTTGTTTGAATGTTAATTTTGAACCGTGAATACATCTTGATCCTAATCTGTCTTTTTTCATCTAATCTTGTTTCTTTTTTTTCATCGTATTTTATTATTTTTGTTTGTTTTTGTTGTTAATTACTATCAGGTATTCTTACTATTCCTATCTATAGGTTGCTGGTAGTTCTCATAAGGAAATTGCCAATGTTAATATTACTTGTGAATTCTTGTTAAAACTCAAATTAGTTCTGAAAATGTGAAGCAATGTTGTAAGACATGACATCATTGCATATTAGTTAATTAATTAGGTAATTAATAATGAATAATATTTCTACTCAGTTAAAAGTTATTTTTGAGTATACATTCAATTCAGTATCAATATAAAATTTCAGATATCAATTTAACATTTTAAAGTTATTATCAATGTGAGATTTAAGTTGTTAATAATGTGAGATATAAGTTATTATCAATTTTAAATTTAGGTTTTTAAGCAATGGGATTTAAGTATAATCTATGTGAGATTTAAGTTCGTTTTTAAAATATAAATTATGAGATTACTTGGTAGTCTCACGCTGTATAATCATTTTTGATGAGCCAACATTCATCCTCTCCTGCCTGTCCAAAATGTAATCATCCTGAAGTCTTCATTCTGTGACTGGACAAATCCACAATTCTATGACATGTGCTTATGAGACTGCCATTTGAATGAATGATTCATGCTTAAATGGGTTTGATTGACAGTTTCCATGCATGAGCAATTAACAAATACTTGTTTATTCGATATTCATATTATTTCTTTATTTTAATCCTACTTTCTATTTAATTTATTTTCTGTGCACTATCAAGATCCAGATGAAGGTATTAGTATAAGATTTTATATTTTTGCAACTTACTTTTTCTTTAATTAAATTTTTTATTTCAACTCTATTTTCAGTTAGATTTTACTAAATTAATCTGTAGTATAAAGAATAGCATTAATAAGAATTAACAGCATGTATCTGTCATAAGAAATTTTTAAACTTATTAAATTTGTTATTAAGTTAATTAAAGATTGTTATTATCATTTAGTGTCAGTAACATTAATAACCTTCTTATGTTTTTTTTTCTACTTTATCCAGATATAAAGTGTTACTTTTACTATAACGTTATAAATGTTGCATCTTTTGTAATTGTATTTGTCTAGTTTTATGGTTTTTAATATGTTTAGTTTGGAAGTTAACTTGAATTGTTATTGTAGTAGTTGCATTATTTATTTATGCTAGTACTAATTACTTTATACAATATCTTTTTCAAAAAATGACATTTTTTGTCCTGAATATGTGTTTGCGGTTAATGTATTCCCTGTTGACTTAATCCATAACTTAATTTAAGCATGAGCAGTCCATTAGTGAAGAAATGTAAGTAAATTCCCTGATGGGATATTAATAACTTCTAAAAACTTAACTAGCCTAAGTAATACAACAATTTACAAGCACAATTTTTTCATTGGATGGTAACAATAACTAAAGTAATTCTCAGACTTACAACATCAGTGATATTTTTCTTTTGATAATTAGAAGTGTAGCTACAAAATTAAATTTACTGTACATGCAAAATATGTGCTTAGTTTGAAGAGAACCACTAGCCAAGGACATTGGACAAGTCAAATTCAAGTCCACATTCCTATATATTGAGGGCTCCCAAATGCTACTGTACCGTTATACTACTGATTCTCATACAAAAAAATCCCACTAGTCCAGTTACCATTTGGTACTATTACTAGTAACCAACTAGCTCAATTTGAATAGGGCTACTACTATCCCACAAAATCAGACTACGAACAAAACATTGGAGTTACAGTACTGGGCTACTTAAGACATGGGGCTCCCAGATCCACTAGTCCAGAGCATAAGTGTGCTAGCCCATAAAATGGAGGTAGTATCCTAAAACAAAGATATTAGGACTAGATTATCTAGCCCATGACATGGAACTAGTGAACTGCTCATGCCTGTATATAATCTATATTTGACATTGTAATGATAGAGTTATGACAACAAAGTTGACTGCACTTTGCATGCTTAGCAATTAATGCTGACTTTTGCCTTAAGGTGAATTACAGTAAAATAACTCAACTAATATTGCAGTCTGTTCCTGTAGAGTGTTCATCATAAATTTTGACCCATTTTTAGTTCCATATTGATGGCTTTGATCTTAGGATGTGACAGTATACAGTATTTCTGAGATTATGAAACCCAAAGTTTTTTTTATAAATATGTTACTTTATAACAAGAATTAAATATTCTATTAGAACCATTAAAGTGGCATAGTCTTGTAAGTTGTATACTGTATTATAATAATAATATAATTGTTAATTTAATAGCAATTATTATTATCATAATTATGGCTATAAATAGTATAATATTTACTAATGGCATATTTTAACTTAGTTATTATTGGAATATTGTTATATGGACTTTTATATAGCCTATGTATTTCACAGTGAAGCATCCTGTATTAATATAGCAGTGTCCATATATAGAATTTTAGATATTTCATAACCAATTAACTACTGTTATAAATAAATTTATTGCTGTTTTGGTATATTATATTGTTATATTGTTCTGTTATATTATTGTAAAATTTATTAATATATTTTGTATCAAGTTCAAATCAAAAAGGAAATCATCTCAAATTATCAAAATGTACGTATGGAACAACATTGATAGTAGTAAACTAAAAACACCAAATACTCATAAGACTTTTAGTAAACTCTGAAAAAAGGATATCAATAGATACTTTTATGATCTTTTTTTCTTTTTTGTGTGTTTTAATTTTTAGTCTTTGCATCTGTTAAAAGGGACCGTGAAGACAAGCCTAGGCTTCTAAACTGGTCCCTCGCCATAGTATTGTATGTTTTCTTTTTTCTGTTGCTCATGGTGAAATAAATGTCACATTGATTGATTGATAGCCATCAAACCGAGATGAATGACATTCAATCCATATGTCCACATAAAATTCAATCCGGAGAGGTCATTAGTCTTTTGCCTCTTGTGTTTATCTCTTAGAAATAATTTTGTTGGAAGCAGCATCCTTCAAACCGTGCTTATTGCCTAGCAATTATTGAGTTCAACTCATAAACATTAATCTATAATTCCATCAAAATATATAGTGCTTTTAGTCTGAGTCATCATTAGGTATTTAGTGTAATTTTTTGAAAACGTTAATGAATAATATGGGAGTTAGAAATTAACCGTTAGCAAAACAAACTGCAATACTTCAGTAAATATGAACAGACGAATAATGTCCAGTGTACTAATGTATCTTGACAATGTGATGACTCGCAATGTAATGTGTTTGTATTACACTTTGCTCAAGTGTCATGCAATAAACAGCAGTTATTTTTTTTTATGACATTCATATTTGATTGTTCAATTTGAATTAACTTGTGGATAACTTAGTATAATACGTACTCCAAGTATCAAAAATGCACATCATCGTGTAGGGATTCAATATTTCAAAATTAAATAATTCATCATCAGGAATATTTTTTATATTCATATTAATTATGATGACATTGATTATGTCATCATCATTCCTGATGATGACATAATTAATGTTGAAATATTGAATCCTTACATGATGGCGTGCATTTCGGTACTTGGAGTATGTATTATACTGTCTTACCTGAGATTAATTAGTGGACCTTATAGACAAAATTAATTTGTGAAAGATTTTATTAACATTTTTATAAAATAAGTTTTATTAAATGTCTTGTATACTAAAATTCAGATTGGGTTTTTGAATATTAACTAAATGAGTTATGAATTATTTAACAATTGAACATTTAAGTATTGGAAGTTAATTAGAATATAAATAAATATAATCAAATTGATAATTAATCACTATATAGTTTTATTCATACATAATAAGGGTAAATATTGGCTGTATACAATATTATTATGATAATAATAATAGTAAAGGATAATATATCAGATTTGTTTTATTCTGATCTCATTTTCAATAATCATCCAAGTGATAATAATAATACTATAGATAATAAATAATAATGCTGGATGTATGTATTGTAATACAATTCAGAAAACCTAAAAAGGGCAAATAAAGCATTAAAGTTAATTATTTTTATTCATACAAAGAATGTGTTTTTACTCATTTAGATTAGATACATTTTTACGAAAATCTATGTTTTTAACATTGTTATATGAAAAGAATATATGGACAATGTTATTTGCGCATTTGTAAAAGTGATAAGGAAATCTAACTTTCTCGTTTAATCAAATATTTAATTGAAGGATAATAACATGATTAATACAAACCAAGAAATTCATCTCTTAAAGCACATACTATGTACCTGTATAGTAAATTTTTTTTAAATAATAATTCTATTAATAATAATGGCAGATAACAGTTAGATAAACTAATATCCTCTACAGAAAGGTGTTTGTATTATTGCGGCTCAAAGGTCAAGAATTGCCCACTGTTGTTCATTCCAAACCGCCATTGATTTATTTTCCCCCTAGACTAAATGTAATTTCAAACTCCGAGATTAAAAGCAAAACTTGGAAGGAAAAAAAAATTTGATTGAAATTGACGAAATGACGAAATCCCCTCGTTATAAGTACAATCTGCATGTGTAATGTCATTATAATTTGAATACAGTATATGTAAATAATGTTTTAATTTTATAAAGCATGCACCTCTAATGTTTCTATTCTTTCTTAAATGTAGAATCTTTCAAAAGGCGAGTTGATGGTGGAGCTATGCAACTGACTTTACACAAACTGTTTGTCGACTATTATCCATTCCATACAGCAAGTGAGTGAATTCATTCTCTCTCTTTTACATCCTTATATTTCCAAATTTTATTGCAAAAGCGTTGACTGAATTCTCATAAATATGATACACAAAGCAAAGACATGAATTAAGTTCACTATTAGCAATCTCTGGCCCATTTTTTGTGGGCTTGCATCTATTTAATAAATCATTGTATGCTTAAAATGCACCCATCTGAATAATAATATCAACATTACCATGAATTGTACTGTGTTCGTTGATGAATTCTATATAGCTTACGTTAATATGATTACAGCCAAAGATGGCTTAGAAAGCAATAAGTGAACAAAATCAATTTCTCTTCCCTAAGGTTGAAATTATGTATTCCGTTCATTTTAATTATTTATAAAGGTTCAAGCCGCGAGCATTGGGAACGGTATGATGATGCTATGAAAGCTGCCGATAAGTGGGTCCATGCAATACTCGGACATTTTAAACAGCAATATACACATGCTAAGCAACATCTGGCGAAAGCAAAAGAACAGGCAAAGTCTGCAAAAAGAGGTGAACAGGGGGAATGTGGTAATATAATGCAAGAGCAAATGAGAGATGAACCAGACAGCAAGAACTCAACACCAGTGAATGAAAATGACAACAGAGTGAACAGTGTTCCGAAAGACATTAAAAACCCAAATATACAGGTGAAGTTTGACAATACAAAGAAAACAAGTAACATTTCTGATGAGGTTAAAGGTCAAACAAAGCCACCGGTACCAAGGGGTTCTCCCGCTGCAAAACCTGTAAAACTGTTAGCACATTGTGCAATTATTCGCATCAGTGACTTTGAAATTTTTAATTTATCAACATCCGAAACAGCATCAAAAGGATCCCCTAGTAAACTGTTCTCCTCAGACAAAAAGGCACTGTTTCTCCCACCGGAAATGTCTTCCGTACACATCGAATACACGTCTTATTATTTTCCCGACGGATTAGATTTTCCAGGTATGTCCATGTTTACCATTAGCCTGCTTTCGATTTGCACGACGACGTGGCATGACGACATGAGCCTACAACGGTTTTACTCATGCAAGAACTTTATATTCGGGCAAAGTTGTGCCTTAGAATACAGGCAGCAATGAGAACTAAACGTTCTCGCATGCGCAGATGACTTCTTAGTGAAGTCATTGCGTTCTTGGTCTCACCGTCATCTTGCAATCGAAAGCCTCCTATTATTTATGAATGCAGTGTAATACAGTACAAATAACTGTTCATATTTTTTAGTTTTTTCTGTATTTGTTAATACCTTTATAGTAATTATACCTGTAATATAATTTTTACTTGCATTGTTTATTTTATATTTATTGATCGATTAGCTGCCCCATGGCAGAACAACGTAACTGCTATTATATTCCTGTGCAGTTATATTGTTCTGCCCTGGAATAACCACGATATTTCATGTATGCAAGTACAGAGAAAATAATTGTGTTTATAAATTATATAAATTTTATAAAAAGTATACAGTATTTATAATTGGTTGAATTGGTTATAGAAAATGTCACATGACAGAAATTCCAAAAATTATGATCTTCATTAAATATCTTGATATATTATTGTTATAATTATATTTGTGTTGTAGACCAAGTGTTTCTAATATTAAAACATTGTTTCATACTCCTTCCATTTTCTGTCACTCAAAAATCAACATGTCAGAGAAATGTTGTCATTGCAAAGGTAACAAGGTTTTCACACTTTACATGGCTTTTCCTGCTTCAGTGGAAAAGCCATTGTTTTTTTCCTGATTTTTATTTCTTTCCCATCTCCCTATGTTTTTGCACAGGATTTTTCTACCCTCCACTTTTATCATTTTTCGTACTTGGATCTTCTTCAAAACAAGTCTTTTTCCAGACTTCCATGGGCTATCCTTGGTGTTTACACCAAATAAATCCAATCCAATCCATGTTACCACCAGCTTTATTGCAGCCCGATTTCAAGACTCGGTAGTGTCAATTTGTTTAATGCATTTTTAAAGTGAATATTTCCAAACATTACTTCTCATTATGAGGAAAACCATATGAAAATCAGATAAAGTAAATACATTTCAAGGTACATTTCAAGGCAAATTTGGTCTAATATATGTCAGAGTTTGCCAAGCGATGTTGTTAAGGAGAATTTAATGACATCAGGTAAAGCACTTGATTGATTCTATGAGGGAAAATGATTCCATGAATTAGGAGAGTTGACTTGATTTATTAGTCAGCTGTATTCAGTGTTGGATGTCAATGAAAATTGAAAAAAAAATATATGGTATATGTATATAATTATAGTGCATTTTTTTAGTTTTATGAACTTGAAAAAAAATCATTTTTGTGATTGCTTACTTTGTATACAAGGGCCAATAAATACAATTATTAGTTTATCACCCTATCTAGGGTCTATCTAGTAAAATACATGATTCAGAGAGTACAAAGAATATGTACTGACTATTTACTAAATATAAAATGAAAAAAGAATTTTCCCATAATGTTTGTGTTTTCCCAATGCCATAGAGTTAATAGCAGTAAATATATTTCAATAATAAATTAGAATGAGAAGTTTTTTTTGTTAAGTAACACTTATAATACCGTTCTTACATTCTTGGCATAGAGTAAATCACATGATAGCAACTGTGGTATGGAGATACACCTCCACTGGTAAAGTAGTATTTAAAGATGATAATAAATATTTAAGAAAAACGTATGTCCCCATCATGATTTAAACCCAAGATCTTCTGATTACCATTCGGCTACTTTACCAACTGAGCTGTGAGGCCAAGTAAATCCTTAAATTGTATATTCCTTTCCCATTTTTATTAGATTTGTTTAATCTCATTTCGTCAACTCTTTATTTCAAAACTGTTAGAATGAAATGTCAATGACAGAAGAAGTAATTATGTTTTGATATCTCATAAATCAAAAGGATATTATAAATAGTTCTTGAACTTTAAAGGTGAAAGCTTTATTCTTTGCCTTCCCAAGTGTCCTTTGTATCTAATTTGATTTATTCAGTGTCCCCACAATTTGTCCTCACTGTCAAATTTGATGTGACAAAATTGTGTTTTGCACCCATATATGGGCATGAGGATGTCATATTTAGCTTTGTCCACACTATCAAATTTTATGTGACAAATAACTAAATATTCCCATATTTGGATGATGTATGACATCATAAATCCTATATATGGGTATATCACCTAAATTTGTCACATAAAATGTGATAGTGTGCACCGAGCTTTACACCCAAATATGGGCATGTCTCATTTTTTCACATTAAATTTGATAGCGTGGACAGAACTTACAAACATACTTGTTATAGTAAATCTTGGAAGAAGATCTGAAGCTGCTTTTTTGTTATAAATTTCACTATCTTTCCATCCATTTCACAACATCTATTTATCATATTTATGTATTTACTGTTCTTTAATATAATGTATAAATCCTTCTAACTCTCTATTATTTATTTATTCAATTATCTATTTATTTGTTTATCTGTGTCTCTGTCTTCATCTGTTGATTGATTCTTTTTGTAGATCATTCCATCAACCACAATTAAAATTGCTAATATTATGTTCTCCACAGTGCCCGCTCCAAATGTGTTTGCACAGTTCAACCCATTCCAGTTCACCTTGGATTATAAAACCATCCTATGGATCAACCAATTTGTGTTTAATATCAAACAGTCATTGGTAAGTCTGCTTGACACATGTTGGTAGCACATTACCCAGTACATATTGGTACTTTTCAAGGCCTGGTTAGGTCACTTGTCCTGTGCTCAGTTTCATATCGGATGTAATCTCAAGTCTGATGAGTAAAAAAATATTCATGCTGTATTATTTGCTCTAGTTCAGAAGAATTGTAGTTTGTACATTGAGTACCTAAAGGCAGTAGAAGCTGTGTTGAATACGATTGAAAGAACAGGAAGAGATTATAAATTGTTCATGTATTAAGAGGAAATGTGATATTGAAGGAAGTAATAGAAGAAAAGAGAACAGTAGCCAGAATATATCTTGTAGATGTGTTAACATAGAAAACTATGCAAAGGTTAAACTAACAGCAGAGGGATCACTGGAAAAGCTTCAAAGGCATATTATACTAATAGATGGTCTGCAAAACCAAAGTTTCAATCCATAAATTTATTCACTTAAATTTCTTATAACAAGTGCTGAGAACCAAGGAGGCATAAGCCAGTAACCTGATCCCGGAACTAAGCTTAAACTATAGTAAACTATAATTATTAAAAATTAATCACAAAAAAAAGAAAAACAATAGATAGTTTACTAAATTTTAAGAAAGAGGAGGATGATGAAGATTTTATGATGATGATGCTGATGATAATCCAGGTCCTTTAACAGCTTTTAAGGTGGCATAAACTCCCTCCCCTTGTTTGCTGTGGCATAAAGAGCAATCTTCAACCTGCATGAAATTGTTTAGAAGAGATCAAAATGACTTTTCTCCCCCATCAAGCCATAAGTCCCCTACCCGCCTCCCAAAATATCCTGAAGTAATTTCACACAAGGTAGACTAGTAATTGATGATTGATGCAAAATTACTAGTCTTTTAATGATTTGAACACAGAGCTTTTGGTTTAGAAAGGGAGTATCTTAGCCTTCAGACCATAGATTCCACACCCAATCATCATTAAACAAATTTTTCCAACAGATCAATTGAAATTTGTAATGAGTGAGATTTTCAATGAATATGAGAATTTATCATTATGAATGAATAAATTATTGAATCATTTTCACTAATTTCTTTGAATCCTAGCCTGAAGATTTGCAATCAGAGCCTAGCCCAACAATAGGTATGGATCACATAGACATGAGAGTAGATGCCCTTATGCCTAAGGTAATGTATTAGTCATGTTATAAACGTAATGTGATATTAAATATATTTTGCTATATGGGTGACAAACTTGTACTTTTCTTTTCAACATGCAATTAACTGCACTTCTAAGTAAATTTACTTAATACATGCAGACCATCATTAATAAATATTTAATCTTGTTATTAACTCTAATAGTTTTTTTTATAAAAACTTTCATGATATTTTTTTGTAATAATATTTATTTCTATTAAATTTTTAAAGATTATTCTTCTTGTACCAAACATGATTCCAGAGCAGCCAGACAGGCCGGAATCACTCTTGATTCAACTTTCTCAACTAACAGCATCAAATTGCCGCATCGGAACCAACACTACACGCTCTGAACTCTCCACCAAACTTCAGCAACTCTACAAGTCAAGATTGTTCACGAGTGGCCATTCTTTCCCGAATCGGGAAGATGATTTCACAACTCTGCCGCAACTCTTCTGGGATCACGCATTTCAACCAAACTTCTTTCTTCCTGGAGTACAGAATGAAAATGTTGGGTTGGAGCACAAACAAAAGGCAGAAAGGACTAAGCCTGATATTACAACAGATTCTAATCAACTGAATGTGGATGAAGGTAGCAAAAACCTAAAGTCTGAATGTCTGAAGGAATTTAAGTTGTCAACATACACATTCAGAGAAGACTCTAGGCGTGATAATTGGTGTATCAAGATCGACCAGATATGGGCAGATTTTCTCAAACCAAAAGAGTTCAAAGACCGACAGATTCCATTTATAGATGCCATTCCATTAACAATATGGGTTTGCTTTCCCACACAATTGAATGACACCAATGCAACTGAAGAAACAGAAGAAGCTAATGGTGAACCTCAAAAAATGCAATGTCAATCAAGAAAACTTTTTCTGACACCAGATGATAAGAATTGTCAGATAGAGATTGATCAGCTAAGAACAAGTTTACTGGAGAATGGGACAGAAGAGACTGTAGATGTGACTAGGATATCTGAAAGGAAACTGGATAAGAATACTATCTTAAACAACAAGAATGATGTCAAAGATAATGAACAGACAGAGCCAACTAAAGCAAAGCATGGAGACATGCATCTGCTTATTCACACCAGCGAGATGGTTCGCCTCGTCATCCAACACTATCAAGTATTGTTTCTGCTCCGTCTACAGACATCAGTTCAGAAACTTTTGCAAGAGATGGAAGAAGATCAAATAATGCTTAGTACACGGAAGGAGCTACCACCTTCAAGCAAAATAGTCGCCTTTCGTTGTCCTGAGATTGAGGCCACGCTATTGATGGCTCCAGCTCCAGATGGCGAATCCGATGATGTTCAAAGTGAAGGTATTTCTGTTGGAAATAGTGCTGGAAGCTTAGAAGAAAAGGAACTAACAGCATTAGTCAGTGGAGAGAGTGTAGAAGATGTTGATGCTGCTAAACCCGTGAATAGTCCTATTGGATCCTGTCCTGGTGAGGCATCTGTTTCTAGCAGTTTACCAAGTAGCCCAAGTATAGACACTTTATCGGATTCGATGCCTAGTATTGCCTATTCTCAGACTCTAGTGACAGAGGGAAAGATTGATGGTGAAGAATCCCGTAGAAGAACTTCAACACAAATGATAGAAAACACTCCAATTGAACAATACTCAGAATTCCGACAAAGAGCTGCAACACAGCCAACTTCAAAGAAATACTCTGATACCTTGCCAAAAGTTGTCAGTAATGGCCCGGATGTTGTAATTGATTCTATGGCAGATCAACCATTAGAGAATGGTTTAGCTGGTAATTATACTAAACCAAACCATAGAACTCTATCTAATACCGATATATCAAACAAGGAAGGCATAAATTCTTCAAGGTTGGATTCAGACGCAAGAGCAACAAGTCCAGTAATGGTCAACTCTAGTTTGAATGTATCATATGTGATGACGCCCAGAAGTGCGTCACATTCTGACCTAGCTAAGATATCTGCCTCAGGTCTTTCAGCATCATTTACCCAGAAGCAGCAGATGCTGATGGGTTCTGCAGTGTCTCTGGATGAAGTTGGTTCAATTGGTTTTGAGACGCTCTCTATCAAAAGTGATTCAAGTGATAGTAGTTTTACCTTTGTGAATTCAACTCGGCAAAAATTTGAAGTGGATCAAGAGAGTGGTCTTGGTAAGTTTTATATGTTCATTATAATACTGTTAATATATATTGAGGATGATGATGACAATGATGCTCAACAGCAGCAATGAAAACGATTATTATGGTCATATACAAGTATGTGATAAGAATGTTGAATAACGAAATGATTATAAAAGTGATGGGGATAATATTACACTTATGTAAATAGGTGCTTTTAGTATTAATCACAAAAACCAAATTATTTTTCACATATATTTATGCAGGACAGAATTTTTTCGAAGTTGAATATATCTAATAATAAATTCTATTAATTTCTATTTAGGAAGTGAGCTATCTCAGTCCCTACCGGTACTGAATGGCCAGCCACCTGATGGTCATCAAGAATCTGAAACAAAGGGTGAGTATAGCATTGGAGTCAACATTGTACATTAATGGTCTAACTGAATAATTCTATTTTTATATTATTTTTCTAGGAAAGTCATACATTACAGCAAAAATTAACATATATTCATATGGGGGAGGGGGGGGAAACAAATTATTTGGCAATGTCCTGAACATATTACAACCATTATCATCATTGTCATCATCACCACTATCACCACCATCATTATCATCATCATCACTATCATTATTAGTATATAATATTAGTATATATTAGTATCATAATCAGTATTGATGAAGCTCACTTGAATTACCCAAAAGAAAGTAATATTGAAAACTGATTAGGCGAAACTTTTTTTATACCTTGTTTTGCGAACCAGCTGTCCGCCAATATTGATGATTTTGAATAATGATAGAATTTTATTTTGGCCATTGAGCTCACCTGCCACCACGAAAAATGGAAATTTCTGAAAAAAATAAAAGTTTTTCTTTATTTTTATTATGTCTACTGCTACCTTGAAATTTCCAAAATATAAGGTATATTTCTTCCTACTATTATATAAATTTAAAGCATTTAATCATCCCATTACTACACTTTTTACATTCAACAATAAAATTTTATTTATTTTTGCTGCGCCATCTGAATGTTTTTATCAAAACCATCTGCTAAATTTTAAAAAATTGTTCGCTCTCTGACGATCTTTAAAAGAAAACAAAACAAGGTAGAAAATAAGTCTTGCCTTAAATACCTTCTTTTGTTGTTTATAATCTGAAAGAGAAGGAGATAAAGTCATATTTCAGTTGTTAACATGCATAATGAATAATCTTCTCTCATTACAATAGAATTTTTTCTTTTGGAAATGGTGCAATATACATGTATCATATTAGTATAGTATTTATTTAATTTTACAATTTACAACAACTTATATTTTTTCATATTCTATTCATGTCTATCTGTAGAATATTTTTGCATTTCAATTAAAATTCTTTTGTTTGTTGACCAGTTTTTAACAGTTTTTTGTTTTATTTTTCTAATGCAAATGGTTTTTTTAATAGTCTCAGAATCCCCGGATGGAGTGGAAGCTTCCAAACTCTCTGAACTTACTATGGACGATATGTACAAGGACAGCAAACATAAGCTAAATATGGTAAAATTTTGTCTTTTTCTATTCAATATCAAACAGTAGTGCAAAATAAAACAGTCGAGCCAAAAGGTATAATGGAGTGAATTTTTATGGCTTGTGGTTAAGTTACTTTCTTTTCATTCCCAATGTCCTGGATTCAAATCCTGTCAAAACCAGATTTTTTTTTCTCACAACTAAAAAAAAAATACAACTCAACAATTAACAGCTGCTTAAATAGTACTCTGTCTATGCTATATTTTGCATAGACCACAAACCATAGCCATATAATAGTTATTTGTAGTAAAATCTGTAATTTGGCAAACAGTTGTTTTTATTTTATCTGTATATCATTGAAAGTGATAAATTAATAAGCCATTAAGTTTTGGTTGCTCAACCCTTCAGTATATAATACTATAAAACCTGAAAATATTTGTTACAACATAGAGTAAAGTCATGCCATAAAACGAAACTGACCTTTAAATTTTAACCTTTCTATCCATCTTCTATGCCCTGGTAAATTCACCCATACTTAGATAAAAATAACGTTTGCTTTATTACAGGTAACTTAGCACAATGAATATTTTATTTGCAGGTGTCTGTTGTGAAATTCAACTTAAATGGAGTCGATGCGGCAGTAGACTTAGACAACAATGACATGGCCGCTAGGATTGAGATTGGGGGCTTAGAACGAGAAGAACAAGGCAATATGAATTACGAGCAATACATGTCAAAACGACAAACTGGTAAAAAGCAATATTTATTTATTATGTTCATGTGTGTATTTTATTTGTAAAAACCATCCACCAGCATAATAAATATATTTTTATAAATGTAACAAGGACATAATTGTACAAGGAAGCTGATGGGTTGTGTCATCACAACCCCAAAAAATATAATTTATATTTCAACTTGTTATATTATATATGTTGAATGCCTCTGTGTGGTTTACATTTAACAAGAAATATTCAAAGGGTTTTGAGGGTAGTGGAAAATGTGCGAACTAAATCAAAATGTGAAAGTGAAGCTAGCTTGGTTCAGTTCAACTATATTTACACATGGAAGGCCTGTATCAATGCAGTGGTGTTCTTACAAAATATAATATAAAGTGCATATAAATTAGTAGTCAGCAATGTCTTTAAGTACAATAAAAATATAATGGCTGTTTTGGTATTTGCTTTTAGAAATTTTCTAATTTTCTATATATTCGTAAAAAATTGTGCTTTATATTTATTTCAACCATCTTTTATTATTCAGCTATCTTTCACTTTAAATTTTATACTTCTCATTCACCAATGATTATTTTGTTTCACAGATTTAAGTAGAAAAGCCAGTGATGCAAGTGAACGAGAATTACTATTGCAGGCTAGACTTCAATCTCCAGTTGTAAAAATCAGATTTGTAAGTGGGCCAGGAGCTGAGAGGTTCTGTGAGACGGCTGCAGAAAGAGGCTACTTAATATTAAAGGTACTGATTTTTTAGTAAATTTTTATTTTATGAAATATAGGTCTAATTTAATGAAAAAGATAATAAAAGTATAGAGTGTATATAATTATAAGAATAATAATAATGATTATTATTAAGGTTATGATGATAATGATGCTCATAATAAAACATATTAATATGCAGAATATTAACAGCCAAATGTTTGCTTCATCTTATTTTAGTTATTTTAACAAATTAACACATTTCAGCACTGAGATTTTATTGCAGCAGTTAAAAATAAACACATCTTACCAGGTACCCACTTAGATATAGCAAAATGGTGCTGGTAAAATTAAAAATTAATTTTTCAAGGACAAACCAATATTAACAGCTTATGATTCGAACCCACAATCTCATGAAATATTAAACAATTATTATTGCAACAACTATGGTGAATGTTAGCAAACAATAGGAGATTGAGAAAACATTCTTTCTCTTACTTCTGTTTTGTATTTTGCTTCAGTCAGTGGAGCATGGTGGTTGAAGTGCCTATCTTCCAGTCAATGGTTCCTGTGTTCGAATCCTGCAATGACAGGATTTTTTCTAACCATTGAGAACAACTCTAGTTGTTAAACTTCATAAAGATGAGATAAATACACAAAATAAATTCAAAATGTATAAAAGATTTTCCATTATTATTGTTCTTCTTTGTCAGGTGGACAGTTTAACTTGCGAATTCTTAAAGTCAACCATTTCAAATCTATCAGGATTTGTGGATGATGAGATAATTGGAGAAGCTATGCCGATGAAAGTTGAACTTAAAAACACAAAAATACAATTACAGGTATATTGTGTGATGTATTGAATTATATAGACATTTGAAAAAAAAACTAAATTCTACTGATTATTGACAACCCATCCCATTTATCACTTAGTATGATTCTCTTTTATTCTTTCCCTCTTATATTCCTGGGTAGAAAGAGACAACCATAGGTAAAGTACCTGGGCTAAGGACACAAGCAAAATGCACAGCAAGGAATTGAACCCCTACCTCAAAGTTGAGACCATGAATCACAACTCTCCCCCCACCCCCACCCCTCCCCCACTATCTGTTGATTTACAGATTTTTTAAAACAAAAATCCTTAAGCTCTGTCCAGAAATTTAATTTCAAATAAATGATTTATTTATTTGACAAAACCTGTTGTATGCCCATATATAGTCATGATGTGCCTATATATGATCATAATGTGATGTCATCATGACCATTTATGCATATCAAATGTTTTTTTCAAATAAAATTTGATAGTCTATAGAGAGCTTTATACTGTATGAGGCTTGCCATCTGCGAAGTTGCTAAATGTTAAACTTAATCATTCGCATAAGAATATGGCAGTATTGTATTCAGAGAAGTAATTGTAACTCAATTCCAGTAAATGACACATCATTTAAAGGCTTTTATTGTGGATATCAATATGAATATATTAAAAAGGGAATTTTTGTTGTTCTGGTAACTGATGCTGGTTTTGGCATGGCAAGCCCCATATTGTGTTAAAGTATGTAATGGTGTAGGCAAAGATTAGAAGAACACGATTATTTATCCCTCTGTTAATTAACAAAAGAAACATTTTCTCAGTTTCATTTGAAAGCTAACTTAAATTTAATCAAAGTAAGCAGTTAAGAAGTCCCTTTCTGGTTGTCACAGCTTGTCTTATCCTATTATTAAGTAGATGATGTTTCTCAAGTTAATTTCAGCATTAATTGTTTTGTATGTTATTTTGTACATACATTTATTAATATTTTTTCAATTCTTTTTTATTTGAACATAATCAAATTATCCCTTGATAAGCCAATGCCATTGAATGAGGTAGCTAGATATTTTCCTTGATGTTCTTTAAAAGAGCTCTTAGCTATAATTGTCTAAGAATGTTATTTTTCCATAAGAAGTATGAGTAAATACATTTCTAAGTAGGTTAGTATATGTCAATATCTGTCTCTTATACACATCTAGATGTGTATAAGAGACAGCATTTATGCATATCAAATGTTTTTTTCAAATAAAATTTGATAGTCTATAGAGAGCTTTATACTGTATGAGGCTTGCCATCTGCGAAGTTGCTAAATGTTAAACTTAATCATTCGCATAAGAATATGGCAGTATTGTATTCAGAGAAGTAATTGTAACTCAATTCCAGTAAATGATTATTTCCAATCTGTTAATTAACAAAAGAAACATTTTCTCAGTTTCATTTGAAAGCTAACTTAAATTTAATCAAAGTAAGATATGTTATAATTAATTCATTAGTCAGCACATAGTTAAAGTTTATCATGATCATTTTTTCCTTGTAGGATGATATGCCACTGGTGTACCTCACAAGTCCGCCTCCCATTCCTTTTGATGTTAACATAGCACGTATGACAATTGAGCGATCACCTGATGGGGTGTTCCATATAAGAGGTATGTAGATGGTGGAAGATTCTTTTCAGAAATAAAATAATACATAAGCATTTGGCTTTTGTGAATTAACCCCTTGAATTTTTTCTCTAACGAAAAAACAATCTCCATTATATTATAATAGTAATAGTATACACTGTAGTGTAATAATATACAGTATATGTGACGATTTTAGGTTTTATTTTTAGTATTTAGTATTAATAATTTTTCATTAATAATTTTATTGACATAAATCTATCTTCAGTTGTGAGCTAATTTTTGTTTTTACAATCTTTTTCATTGATCCGTTTTTCTTGATTATTTCTGTGCAGATGAGGTCCATGAACGTGCTATTGACAGGTGTGATGGTCCGCTTGTGTTCATTGACCAAGAGTTCCTCCAGAGTCATAACCAGTTGGAAATGGAGAACCAACAACTAAAAGAACAAGTTCACATGATGGGTGCAGGAATCACTACCCTTGAGCAAGAGAGGGCATCTCTACTCGCCACATTAGAGCACCTGCAGGAGGAACTCCTTGCAACAGACCGACAGAAGGATGCCCTCCAGGGTAAGGTCACAGAATTGTTACGACGTCTGATGGCAGCAAAGAAGTAATCTTCAGTTGATGGCAGCAAAGAAGTAATCTTCAGTTGATAACAGCAAAGATGTAATCTCCAGTTGATGGCAGCAAAGAAGTATTATACAACTGATAGCAGCAAAGAAGTAATCTCCAGTTGATGGCAGTTAAGAAGTCCCTTTCTGGTTGTCACAGCTTGTCTTATCCTATTATTAAGTAGATGATGTTTCTCAAGTTAATTTCAGCATTAATTGTTTTGTATGTTATTTTGTACATACATTTATTAATATTTTTTCAATTCTTTTTTATTTGAACATAATCAAATTATCCCTTGATAAGCCAATGCCATTGAATGAGGTAGCTAGATATTTTCCTTGATGTTCTTTAAAAGAGCTCTTAGCTATAATTGTCTAAGAATGTTATTTTTCCATAAGAAGTATGAGTAAATACATTTCTAAGTAGGTTAGTATATGTCAATATATCTTTCACAGTTTCCTAAAGATACTACATATACATATACTACATAAAGATACTAATACTAAAACCTCTTCTACTGTAGTAATTTTTTTTATCTATGTACTTCAAATTTAAGATGTAAATAAGGCCAACAACGAAACCTTTTTGAGATGCATATACGCAGAGACATTTCAAAATCATGATCGATCAGGAATTTTATTTATTTTTTTACTATAGACCTAATTCTAAAGGTCTGTCCAGATTATCAAATAAATATTTGACAAAACTTTTTTGTATGCCCATATATAGTCATGATGTGCCTATATATGGTCATGATGTGATGTCATCATGACCATATTTAGGCATGTCACATGTTTTTTGTCAAATATAATATGATAGTCTGGAAAGGCTTAAGGATTGGATAGTGACTTTTAAACCACCAAACCTGTATTCTGTGAAACAGTTCTTTGTAAAAAAAAATCCCCAAGATTTCATGATTTTGGGGTGGTTGAGCATGGGCAACACATACTTTTATTTTGGCATAAAAATAATTATATAAGAATTAATAAGAATCTCGATTACTCTTGAAACCTTTGTTTTTGTTTTTTTTTTTCTTAGTTATTTTTTGGTGTGTACTTAACAGCTGTGGTGCTTTTTGGAGGTTTCCTTAAAAACGGTGCACATAATTTTGAATTTTTGATCTCAACGTTCTTTCATTTTATTATTGATATTCTGTCTAGTTTTTTTATGAAGATATGATGTCTAAAATCATATGGTATATTTTGAAATTTTTATTTCTATTTTATTAGGTAAATTTAGCTTAAAAATTTATTTAATAGGCGATTTAAAATACAGTAAGTTTTTTACAAATAAGTTTTTTTTTTCTATGTTTTTTTAAGTTACCACTTTCTTTATATGAACATCAAATCAGTTATAATGAGTCAAGCTTAATTATTAGTTGTTTTCAGTTGTGACAACACCATAAACCTAGGACAGATTTATTAATCTGTGAGTTGTTTGACAAAAATAAGCGACATGCCTAAATATGGTCATGATGACATCATATCATGACCATATATAGCACATCATGACTATATATGGAACATTTGATAGTGCGGACAGAGCTTTGATAGGTATAGTGTATGTAAATGGAATGAGGTCTAATCAATGACATTTTAGGAAACCATTCAAAAGTGATCTTGCACTGTATGCTATTTGTAATGGCTGTACAGATAGAAAATTTGAATTTATACTCAAAGGGGTAATACAAGATTGGAGCCTATTTCCTGAATATTTACCTGAATAAACAGTATTAACATGTAATCCACCGTAAAAAAGAATGGAGCATTCCCTACACTGCCTGTTATTACAATTCATGTGTCAGAAGTTTCCGTTTGCAGAAATGGCACCAACCATTATATAAGATTGAGGAGAGATGATTGAATCAACCGTACATGAAAGGAATGTAATCTTGGATAACAGTAAATTGTACAGGAAGGTACTCTAAATAAAAATCGCCTCATATCATATTATTTTGCGGGTACTGTAGTTCCCCCTTACTTATTCATCAACCCCCACTTCACCTCCATCCCTCATCAACCATCCGGCCCCCCCTCCCAATTTCAAGACTCCTAGATACGCCGCTGAGCGGAAAGTGGAACAATACACAGGGAGAATCTTCTTCACTCTAGGGCTAAACTTGATTGTTTGAATGAATTTATTCTTTGCTCATTTCCAAAATCATGTGGAACATTTGACTGTGTGGGAAAATCCTGTACTGGAAAAGGATTAGCATGGGATGCTACATACAGAGAGAAGTGTGATAGTGGGTGTTACAGGAAGCTGAATACTTTATAGGAAAGAGAGAATATTATTATATTATTATATGCCTTATATTTGCAGTTGTAGTACAGAAAAATGGGAGTTTGATAGTGGTTGATCATAGGCCTATTATAGTAGGTCTTGCGTGTCATAGTAAGATATAGGGTTGCAGTTTTTGAAGGGAAAATGTAGGGTTATATTGAAAGTTCATATTAAGTTTTTCATAGTGTTTCTTTGTTGGATACCGTCTAATCCTGTGTTATGTCATTAATTCTTATGAAACTTTATTGTAAATATCATCAAAACCTGATCCGTCAGATCTGTCAGTGAACAGGTTAGGTAATCCAACCCTTGATGCTTGTAAGACAGTTTTGTTCTGTAAAAGTCTCGACAATGTGTTATCAAAGCAAAGCAATGGACTGTCTTCATTCCTTTGCATACTACCATCCTAAACCGTTAATCTTTGCTTTGTCCTGGTTTTTACATTCTCAGCTATAGCGTTCTATGAATTAAAGCTTGTGTATAATAATGCATAATTTATTCCGACAGTCTCTCCGACCTGCTGTCGCATCTGAACATCATAAACTGTCAGTGCATAGTCTCATTCACACTATGCAATTTATGTAAACATGGGACGTGAGGGTCACTAGAATAAGTGTGATCAAAGACCTTGTAATTTGGATATTAAGCTTTAGATTTAATGGAACACTTTTTTAAAATGTTAATTTTTAGAACTTCACAAATCATGTAAGCTGTCTTCCTAAAATGAAAACAGTGTTAAAACCTGTCGATGCTGTTTTACTACGCACCAACAATTATCCATAGATTTTCTATAACTATTATTGTTGATGAAATATAATACTCAAACTTTAACACATTAACCGTACTTGAGTAAACAAATAGAACACTAAAAAAAGAGACATCAAGTAAAGATTTTGACACTCTTAAAATGTGGGTCAAGCGAACGCATCGTCTGCCCATCGTAAAAAAGAACTTTTGAACTCCAAAATTCAAAAATAACTCTATTATTCCAAGATTCCGGTACAACTGTGATCATCATATTAATAGTGTCTATTGTTGTCTGTTTCGTTTATACTAGCTGGTGCAGAAGGTGATATTTTTCATGTCATTCGTTACACAAATTTTACTTTCAAATGGTAGGCATATGCTATATATTCCAGGCCTGGTGTTGGGCCTGCCAAGATCACCACTAATTATTTTAATTAAGGTCATGCTTTAGTGTTTCTTGTATGTATTACTTATTGTTTACGATTTTCCATCGAAATGGTTATTAGCCAGATAAGTCAATACTTTTACATTTCGGGCATTTCTCACTGCTAAATATAATTAATTTATAATCTATGTGGATAATGTGAGGGGTAATAAATTGCAGATTTTTTTTCAGTGTTTTTTTTTTTTTTGTAATTGTTTTTGCTGATTCTTTAATATAAAACGTCTATTGTGCCTCTTTGTCAGTGTGAAGTGTTGTATTTTGTAATTTTCATTTTTTTTTATGCAACATATGATAGTTTAAACAAAATAATTACTGTTGTTTTTTTTTATCGACACTACATACAAATATCTGATTTGTATGCATATTTTGGCCTGATGAAGTCTTAACATAGGCTACTCAATACCATCGTGGAGGTATTGGTAATATCTCTATGCTACCATGTATGGGCATGTATTTGTTACACCCATCTAGCGGCAGACGAACATTTATAGGGTGGACATACTTTGAAGCTCCGTCCAGACTCTCAAATTTTATTTGACAAAAAACTGTTATATGCCCAAATATAGTCATGATGTGCCTATATATGGTCATAATGTGATGTCATCAGATTTAGGCATGTAACATGTTTTTTGTCAACTAAAATTTGATAGTCTGGACATAATTTAAGACTTATGATCTGATTAAACAACTGCGTGTCTTTTCTTGTTCTACTTCATCAGATAATCTAATCAAACATTATCAAGTGAAGTCTGACAGACAAATAGAAATTCCTGTTTTTTGTGTAAAATTGTGTGCTCGTGTGATTCAACGTCAGTAGGCATTATAGACTGAGTGAACAGTTATTCAAATGAAGGTATCTTCGGTGATATTTTTTCTATCTTCTATAATGATCAATGTCTTACTCCTTATGTATTGCAATTTTAAATAATATTTGCCTTTTGTAATTGTTCGTTTTCATGACGAATTAGCTTCTATAATATTTTTATTATACAGTCAAACGAATTATTTTGATATTTTATTTTATTAATTTTGGTGCATTGGGAAGTCATTTTTATTGTCATGTTATGCTAAGCAAATTGATTTATTATTATGTATGGTTATAGAAAAAAATAGCATAAGATGTAACACGCATAGACACGCATTATACGATACGCGTGATTCCGACTATATAAAGTAGAGTGCGTATTATAATTACTATGTGCGGTATGCACTATAATAGTAATATTGATAGCTGTGGTGTATTGTATTAGCCTAATAATATGTGCTGTACCGTGTGTATTAAAATAAGAAGGCTTGTGGGATCTGATTAGATTTTGATGGATGTAATCACAGATTCATCCAATTATTCCAACCGTACAAGAATAGGCCTATGTAATTGGTGAAAAACATAAATAGAAGTACAGTACTAAATCTAGTGCGTACATTAGTTAGTTTGAAAACATACTGTACCCAACAAATTCGGTAAAGATTAATTGTTAAGCAATGTTTAATTTTAATCAAACTTAATACTGCACATAATAATATGCAGTATTAATTCTTATACATTACGGAAGTTTTCTAAAATCTTCCAGTTATTCTAGACAGTTGCATTTTTTTACGTCTTATATTGCAGTACATTTATTAACTAAAATATGTTGTCAAGGTGGTACGCACTAGTCACATACTAACTGGCAATACTGTAGTTATGATTTAATGTTCTTACCGTCACTTACTAACTGGTTGATTACAGTTGAGTAAGAGGGGTTTTTTTTTCTTTTCTATCTGTTCCTTAGTTGTGTTTTTTTTAATTTTTTTATGTTGATGCACTCAACTGAAGTCCTTGTTCACTAGGAACCCCATTCATTCATCCGTATTGGTAGTGTCATCTTAAGCCATGAAAATCGCTACAGGCTATCGGCGACTCCTTTGGCGACGCTGATTGGCCAGTTGAATCAGGAAGCGTTCCCGATTGCGTCGGGAACGTCAGCTACGCAGATAGCAGTGAAAACGCT